CTTAACGAAAAAAAGTAGATAGGTTTGCAAAATGAGTATGGTGCAATTGAAGATCTCTCGGCTTTGTTTGGCGCTCGAACACTTTTTCGTTCTGGAATCTTGAAATATAGTTTCCAGTTTTTGACGCTGAACAAGAAACACTTTTTCAAGGCTCCAGACCATGTGGAAGTGAGATATTACGCTTTTTTCGAAAACTGGTGATTTTTCGAAAAAACTCGTTCTTCAAGCTTTTTGAACTTTCATAGAAAACGTGTGCGGGGAATGCTAAAACCTAGATATTCGTAATCAGCGTAAAATTCTCTATCGAATGGTGTATAATTAAGCCAAAAATAAAATAGTATTCGATGTTTGAATTTGGAGCGCCTTACATTCGACCTTTTTAAGAACCTAAAGTAGATGAAAAATTTTTTAAAACATCATCTATTCTTATAATCCTAATATATTTATCGTGTTTGTTTATTTGTTTATTGACTTTTTAGATAACTCAAGTCTGTTATTTTTGCTATTTCATGGCTGATGGTTCAGTAGATACAAAAGTTTTAGAAACAAAACCTCGTCGACAATTTCACTTATATTCATTTTTAAAAAAAAATTTTGTAAAAGAGTTATTTAGAAGTAAAGTTGGTATTTTTGTATTTTTTACTTCAATATCATTTATCTACTTTGATTATCAGCGTACACAACGAATTAAACAACTTGAACGAGTAAAACAACAAGAATTAAGAAAAACAAGTCATAGTCTAGCACAAAATAAAAACGTACAAAAAAATGGGATTTGAGACAACACGTTATGTATTTAAAGATGTGTTATTCGACAATAGTATGTATTTATGTTTTGGACATATGCTCGATTTACTCATCAACATGAGTATATTCGACAAGATTATTTTAGAAATAAAAGCCAATTAGTGAGTGAAATAAAAGAGCCAAATTGATAAGAGAAAGAACAGATGATTTACAAATTCGCCATTATTCATTCTCGTTCCCATATAGTTATTATTAGATCACGAATATCTTTTTTACACAGAGACTAACTATTCATTTTTCTTTTTGTTATTTTTTCACTTTTTTTAAAAAATAAAATGATGAAGAAAAGGTGAGAATGAATCCAAACAGATACGTTTAATGAACACATGTATATCTCTATAGTTCAAAATGCATATAAACTTTCATTCAATTATTATTATTATTATCAATAGTATTTTATTTTATTTATTATTATGAATGTCTGTCAACATCTACTTGTCGTTGTGATTTAAAAAGTAGATGTTGTTTATAGCAGAAAATGATTGAAAGTATAAAGAAGAAGAAGACAGTTACGAATATAAAAACAATAATAAGAAGAATTATCCATTTTCCCGGATACTTAACGTAGATACGATTCCATAGGTGATCGAATGCATCTTTTTTAGCTGGAGAAGATGTAAGTAAATTAACCACTTCTTGTTGATGTAGTTGATTCGATATTAGCATCGGCACTTGTTCTTGTTGTTTTGATCGAGAATTTTGATCGAGCCAGACATTGAGACGAAATGATTGGATCGCGGGTTTTCCATCTTGACGATTAAGAAAATTTTCGGCGCTGCATGTATAATTACCTTTAGGCAGAAATAAATATTTTTACATTAGAACTACATTACACTGACGCTGTCAATAATATTTCATTCAGCATCAAAATTATTCGAATCGCTGTGTTTCTTTATTTTTTTTCTCAATCACGATAGCTAAGAACGATTTTTAACGGTGATTTCGATAACTAAACAGTCAACCAATGTCTGTGTGTTACCGTTTTTGTCGTTTTATTTCATTTATAGAATTTGAAAAAAACATCGTAAAAACCTGGAAGACTTGGTTTTTTCTTATGGAAGAGAGTAACATCTTGTAAAATAATTTCTTGAACTATGTAATGGCAATTTGCCGCTTTAGTTAGAGGCTTATTAAGATTTTTTTTCATCTATAAAATAAATATACTTTAAACCAAGCTGAAAGACGTCTTATTTTGTAGTTAAAAGTGTGTTCGTCAAAATCCATACAATGTAAAATATTGAGCTATCTTTCTGACAATCATTTTTCTAATAGCCCCATTTCGATGGAAATTGGGTTAAGGCTGTTGGAAAAACCACTATAGCAGAAAATCGATCATATACTCAGAAATGAGTCTCGATCAGATTTTGAAGAGCACACGCTTAGCTACAAAATGCGACATCTGTCAACTCTCTATGGTCTCTCATTCACATATTATAAAATCAACAAAAAGAGCAAAAAGTAACGCACAGACACGTTACACGAAATGTTCTTCATCCAAATACCTTGTCAAATTCTTTTGTATCATTATTTGCGTCAGTATCATTATTATTTCATGATCAACATCAGTGTGATCCAATAGTTCTGCATAATCTAATAAAATAACTAATTCAAATCATAAAATTGTATTTTTTATTTATTTCTCAATATAATATTTGATATTAATAATAAATGTGTTTTAAACAATACTATAGTGGCATGACAACATGATCTTAATGTATTAATATCAAAGATTATATTGAAAATTAACAAAAAACACAAGATTTGATGATATTTTATTACATTATGCAAAATTATTGGATCCCATTGATATTGATCATGAAAATAAATAATGATGATGATGCAAATAATGAGACGGAAGAATTTGACAATCGAGAAAGCGGTAGTTTTGATGATAAATTTGAACGAATTGGAAATATAAAGAAAAGAACAATGTCAAATCAATCAAAGGATAGCAGTAAAAGACTTTGTCTCAAATAGGATGATGTATTTTGATTTAATTTTGTGAGGAAACGGACAATTATGTGCGAAACAATGTAGACATTACAAAATTTATAATAAAAAAAGTAATGAAAGAACAATAAACATTTTTGAAATAACATTTTATGTTTACAACATTTTGAATTCCTGTATCTTCATAAAGAGACGTAAAATCAAATTTTTTTCATTATTTTAATAATCTACGTATACAGTAGTGTAAAAATATATAACCAGTTTGGTGGCAAAAAAATTTAATTTTTTGAACGTATTCTTTCATCAACACTACTAAATTGAAAGTTTTTGAAAAATCCGAGTATCAGAAAATCAAGTTCAAAATTCATCATGAGATTTTTACAAACAAAGAGGGTGTGTAAAACAAATATTTCTAAATAATATGACATGCTACCGATCTCTCCACGACATTGATTCACTGAAAAGCGTTCGATTTGTAGACCGCATCGAAAGTAGAAAAATTAGAAGGAAGACGTACTCAAAGCTTTTCGTAAAATGATTGCTGGTGAGTGAAAAAATATTGTAAAACGATCGGTGAGATCTTAATTTGTTAAGAAATATTTGTTCTTCTATATTTCATCTGATAGAAAACTGTTTCAGTTATTTAAATCACTGTTGAGAATCGTTTTTAGCTATCAAAAGTTGAGAAAAAAATACACAAATGAAAACTTTCTGAATAGTCCTAATGTTTACTGTAGATACCTCGATGTTTCCATGTTGCATTTGTAATCAGATATATTCCTTGTTGACTATTCTTAAATATAATTTCTTTTTCCTTATTTAAATTTCTTGTTAATGTATAGAGAGGTTTTGGATTAGCATCAAATTCTTTACAATTAATTAGAATATCTTGATTAGAATCAAAAGATTTGATAAAATGATAATTTCCTTTCAAGTATGCTTTATATTGAATTTGTAATTGATAGGAAATAGATTTCAGTGTTGTTAATGATTGATTTTCTGTGGATAACAAACTTGTTTGTTGTTGTTGTTGTTGTTGTTTCTGCTGCTGCTGTTGTAACAGGCATATAACATTTTTATTATGATCATTCACATCTATCGTATACTGCAGTATTGCACGATAATAATACCATTCACTGAACGAATCTTTTAGTATATCTTTGTAATCAGGATCATTATCATAAATTGTGAGAATTGAATTTGTTATGATTTCTACACGAGATTTCAATACATAGTCACTTGCAGCTAAAACGTAAAACACAGTTAGAAAATTAAATTTCTTATGAAATAAAAAGAATTACCTAAGAATTTTACTTGACATGTGATATTAATCTGTTGTTCTTCTCTGTAAATAAATTGTTCAGGTTTAATATATAATTCAATGTTTTGATCAAATATGATTACATGATATAAGTAACGTTCAAATATATTTGTACCTATTCGAATTGTCAATGTATAATAACCATAATCATTTTTATTTACTTGTTCAATCAGCAGTTGCTCTCGTTTTAAAAATTTATAGCGTTTTGATATTAGATGAATTGAATATTCTGAATCCATTAGACCTCTTCGAATGGCAATAGGTTTATTATTGACAGAACTCGACATTGCCGAATTGAATATTTGTTCATTTTCAATATTCCCTTTATACCATGTTATAGTGATCTTTAAAGGATCAAGATAGAGAATACGAGTATCATCTAATACAGTGACGTTGAGATATAAAGAACTCGATAACACGGCAGTAAACGATAAAAGATTTGGAAGATCACATTGAACAACAATTAGAAAATATTGAATTATTGATTTACATAGTAATATGGCCCTCATTAATCATTCGTTGACAATAATCCTTCATCAATCTACTATTAGTCATCAGATAATACGATTAACGATCAAATAGCGGCGCCAGATACGATTTGTGACGTAATGTATTCCTACTTTTTTCATCAAGCTTTACATCCCAGCAAAAATTTACATCTCGTTGACATTGATCTTTTAATAATAAGAGAAATCTGCATTTAGATAATTAAACAGGATTTTCATTACAGTCTGGTGTATAAAGAAATGTAATAATTTCATGTTGCTTTTAAACAGATGGGAGAAAACTATTACTGGTTAACTGGGCAGAAAACGTGCAGCAAATCTATCAGTGCATCCGATTCCTACATGCTGTGGAGAACCTCTTTTAATCTTGTATGCTAGTAGTAAATCAAACGTCGATACAAATTTTCACTTAACAACCAACAACTTCTTTGAAAAATCCTAAAGAAACCAAAAGTGATCAAGCCTCCTTCTCTTTTCAGATTTTGGCTAATCACTTCGATGCGCATTCATATCTGTAAACGTAATGTAAGCACTTCATATGAGCTCTTTCTGAGGATGAGAATTTTCGTAGAGTCATATAGATTTAAAGCATTTGGATTTTCAACAGACAAATCAACACTAAAACAGAGAAAATCCTAGAAAAGTACGAAAGAAAACTCAAGGTAGAAAGCACTAGTCATTAATAGTTTAAAGACTTGTATTAATTTTGGTCTTAAATTCAATTCGGAATAGCATAGAAACTTGGTACCAAATGTAAAAGTAGTCGGTTTACCAGATTTAGGAAATGTTGCTGACAAAAATAATGTTAAAAGAGAAAATTATTGAATGAACTTTAATTCATAAATTAATGAAAAGTCAAAAATAACTGAGAAAATTGATTGTGTAATCATGAATAATATCATGGCTAGACTTGGTCATTAATTACTCCTTAGGCTATAGTGCCAGAAAGACATTTGAATAGTACGACATCTACCCCACGAGAGGCCACGGTACAGAGCATCCAGACAGGCGTTGCTATAGTAACTAATCATTGAAATGGTTAAATAGTAGAATAATCTTTTTATAGTTGAGGTTGATCTCCCCTTTCTGTCCTGAAATGCATGTGCTAACCTTGGGACAGATTTATTTCTTGACAACCTGGTACTTGAATTTTTGTCTAATCTCTAATAAATTCTCTGTGAGTTTCCTGACAGGATCCGAGACATATCCTACCAGTATCCTACTACAATTTCGCATTAATTTCTTAGGATCCTAAAAAAATCCTACAGAATCCTAATAAAATCAGGTATATCTAAAAGTCATAGGATTTTCGAAGATTCTGTTAGGATCCTAAACAAACTTAAGCGAAATCCTAGTAGGGTCTTGGTATTTTAGATCCTGCTAGGAGTTATTAGGTGGATCCTAAATGTTAGGATCCTGTAAGATCCTAGTAGGAAATAGACATGAAGTGCGTTGGATTTTGTCTAGGGATGTTGAACCTTTACTTCATTTATTTTCTTATTGAATGTTGATTTTATTGTTCTAGGCTATTCTGTAGAAAATACAGCATCCGCGAAGATCATACAGACGTTTATCAATAATTTTCTGAGAAAAGAATGGACGTCTTTGATGGTCTTCAAGCAGTTATTGTCAGTGGATTGAGCACATTTCATGATGTATTCAATGTTACATGTCGTTCTACCGAGAAACCACACAATAACTGCGGCATATGCAAAGGATGCCTTGTTAATCAACAACTACATTATTCAAAAGAATGGTGGTCAAGGAGTGGCGACTTAACAAGAAGACGTTTTCTACTGGCATTAGTTAATCGGATCAAACCAGAATTACTTGAGCATCTAGCACCAATACTGAAGCCATTTGTTGAGTCGAAAGGTAGTACACTACGCCCCGAAGTTGACTATTTTAGAGTTTTGTTTTTCTCCAGATTTCACCTATGCTCGTAATAAATTTTTACCATCAAATGTCCATGATCGATCTGGAACCTCTGGTGATCGTTGTTTAGATCCGGTAAAAGTTCAACAAGATTCAATGAATATTCTAAAATGGTTTAAAAGTCGAGATAAATACACCCAATGTTCGTTTCTACTATCCATATTGCAATGGTGTGAATATCATCTGATATTTGCTGTCGCGATGACAATTGTATCCATGTGGGAAATGGAATGTAAGTTTATTGTAGAATAAAATGCGATACAAATGTTTAAATAACATCTCTCATTTTTTATCTGCTAATAGCTGATGACGAAGATGATATTGAAAATGTCACATCAAAATCGAAACGTCTATTATCAGCCACTAGTGGATCAAATCGCTTTAGTGGTTCTATACTTAAGCATGAACGAATTTTGCGTCCAAAAACAGCATCAGCAACTGATAGGCAAAAAAGTGCTACAACTGTTTCATTTGCATCATCGATTGGCGGTGAGGTAGTTAACGATGATTCAGAAACAGAATGTTTTACAAGTACAACGAATACACAATTACATGTACCGAAATACAAAGATTTTATACGGTTTGTGTTAAGGCTAAAGTGGAATAGTGAAATTTATTAGGTAGTGGTATTTTTTCATTTTATTTAGACAATTGCCTATCTATTTGGCTAAACATATTTTACATTTGTTGGATAAAAAAACACTGAATCAATGTAAAGCGGTTACACAATATTGGAAAAAAGTAGCTAGCGAAGTGGAAGATGAATTTTTAATGAAAAAATTAATAATGGATGATATGATGTTACTTCAGGTATATTTTAAATAGCCTTTTTTAATGAAGAATTCTTCCACGAAGAGTTCTAATCTTTCAACATCAAAATTTAGGAGCAAACAATTGATTCTGTTGCTCATCGTGTAAGATAATATATATGCACGTATGTTGAAACTAACAGCCATATAATTATGATTTATTATGCTCATTTGTTCAATTAACAAAAAAACAAGTTATGGCACTAAAAAAAAGGTTGAACTCACACAGCACAACTACGTGTTTTCGAGCAACACACACGGGGTGTGTATTTGTCATGAAAGATTAGGAAGTGTTTGGTGAAGTTTGGTATCAGTACTGACAGTTTCCTTTAAAAATACTACAACTTTGGTTTTGGTATCAATCAGTACTGGGTTCTTTGACATCACTTGTTCATTATCAAAACTCTAGACAGTCACAGGATGAACTCTCTAATATTTCACGAGTTTTATTCCGGTATCACAAAAAAAGCCGGGTTGCTTTTGGGTATCGATACGAACTGCTTCAGCACTCACAGCATTAAAAAAGCATCGACAACAACAAGTCTTTGATGAGGGAGAAAATGAATGCTTCTCTGTTTCAGAGTACAGCTGCTCGCCAATGTAACCCTCGATTTGCTCGCGATACACTCGTTCCTGTTCCAGATTGTTATTCGCAAATCGGTACACCCAAAAAAGATGGTCAAGATCTATCAGAATCAAAGCGAAACAAACAACTGGTTTGGAGCAATATTTATACACAAGCCGGTATACCTATACGACTTGTGTTGATGGAAGAACGAAATATTTATTGTGGATCATATAATGTTCTTCTTTTGAAAGACAAGTAAGGATACCTGCTTGCTTTCATACATATGTATTCTCATATAACTGTATTCACAAAAATCAACCTCTTTTTCGTCCATTTTCGATAAATAGTGATATTATATTGTTTTAGTCGTGATCATCGTCGTGTTGTGAACATGAGTGGTGAATCAATGGTTGCAATAGCTTCTCGAGACAGTCGTGTTCGATTCATCGACATGAATACCGCTCAAGAACGTTCGCTAGTGTTAGTGGGTCATGCAGCTTCTATTCATTGTATATATATGCAAGAATCAAGACAAAGAATATTTACGGTAAAAACGTTTCTAGCTTGTACTTCCCCGTAAACTGAACTAATGATGCTGTTTTAGGGGAGTTATGATCTTACTGTTCGGTGAGTAGCGGAGAAGTATATGAAATAAGATTGTGATTTTCTTTCATCCTGCTAGTTGTTGGAGTCTTGAAACTGGTCGATGTATCAAATTATTTCACGGTCACGAACGTACAGTGACATGTCTATCGGTCTACTTCGACTTGATCGCGGCAGGCGGAAATGACAGTTGTTGTTTAGGTTGGTAAGAGAGTATGTATTTTACGTTTCAGTTAATCAGATGTATATACGCAACTAAAATGACTATCATATTGTATCACTGCTAGTTTGGCGTTTCAAACGGCGTCGACCATGGAGAACGTTTAAACACAAACATCCGGTAACTGCTGTGGCTGTCAATGACGATATGACAATATCAGGTGATGTTCGAGGAAAAATTAAAATATGGCATAATTTTACAGGAAATTTAACAAAGGTAGATTCACTTATTCCTAAAAAAACGTACAACATACAGATTATACTTGTTTAGATCCTTAAACATCGTTCTTGTATAACAAGTGTTAAATTTGACAAATGGCATATTGCAAGTGCATCACATGATACCTACGCAAATTTATGGTCGTCACAAGGAAATTTTAGACGACCATTATGTACATTCAGACATCCAAAGTAAGGTTTTCTTGTTAAAATCTGATATCAATTTTTATATTTCATTTTTAATAGAGAAGTACTATGTATGGAATTTGTTTATCTACGATTATTGACTGGTTGTGCTGATGGAAAAATTCGTATATGGAGTGCATTGAGTGCTCACTGTCTTCGAGTTATGAGAGGAAACAGCTTTTCTGATCCTATTATTAGCCTCGTCTGCACACCAAATAGGTATATAAATCTTACGCTATTATTATAATTAAATAACAACAACTTTTTTATCAACATTTTTAGAATATTAATAAATACCGAAAATAGCCTGTTATTAATGAACTTTGAGCCAATCGATTTTGATTATACACTAAATGAAGATTCTGCATCGGCTTTAAGTTTAATTCAATCAGAAAATATGAAAAAGATTGTACCCATTCGATCATATTCTGTAACACGAGCAAGACGCGCTGATGCCATTCATGCATCATCAAGACGTTTATTTGAAGATAATACATCGACACAACCATCACATAGTACAGGAGTACTGAATCCAAAAGAGTTTAAGAAAGCGAAAGAGACACAAAGTCGACCGCCTTCGATAATATCTACCCGTTCAACATCGACAAATAAAATGCGTGTTCGAGTTGATTCAAAATCAACAACTACCGATATTGAGGAGAAACGTTTAAAAGCGAGATCGAAGACAGCTGAACAGCGATCGTTAAGTGAGCAAGCTGGAAATGTTAACATCTTGTTTGATAACGACGAACTTGGTTTGGATTTATCATTAGACGAAACAAAAGAGTTATTAAAACGTCAGATGAGAATGAGTGATGGAAAGGTACCGGAAGAATTTCGAACAATGATCGAAACTGTTAGACAATCACCGTATTATAGAGTACATTCTGGTCAAGATGATAATATTTACCTCGAACATCATGGTTTGCAACAAAATCTCAGTCAACGACCACCATCATCACCAAGTAAGATTGATACAAAAGTTAAGTTAAAACAACGTCAAGCACAAAAACGGATAGAACAATTAAAAGCGGGCTTTTACAAAGACGATTTTGAAGAAGAAAAGAGACGTGAAGAATATTTCCAACGTGAACGTGAAAAGGAAAAACAAAAAAACGAAAAACTGCCAATATTTGGACGCTATGAAGTAATCCATCGTCCACCAGTTCAAACGCCACGATCAAATAGTGAATTTGAACGAAGTGCTACAAGCTTTTATAAACCAAATGACTATGAAGAAAAACGGTTAAGAGCACAGTCAGCTAAACAGCATACAATACAAATGCCATGGCCTACGAAACGCCAAATTCACACAAGTGCAAGTGAGAATCGTCAATTATCATCTTTAGGTAGTATAACTGATAGACGATCGAAAACACCAGCAACGTCAGTTCATGAAAAAATAGTTAAATATGGCCGCACTACACATACGGTAGTCATTGGTTATGTTTCACCTTACACATCACCTCTTAGACGAGATCAGTTGCACTTGAAAACATCGGAACAAATTGAACAAACAATAAAACAAATAAGAAACATCCAACAAGAAACTATTGCAGTGAAATACTCGAAAATACAACAGTAAAGAATTTTCATTAATTAAATTTGCAATACGTGTGTTATATTTCTTTTATGGTGCAATTTATCTATTTTGCCTCAACAAACGACCGTTATACTCAACTTTCATTAATTGAGCT